GGGGGGGGAGAAAATAATGAAAAAAGGAAACATGGAGAATGAGTGAGAGTTTCTCCCTGATGTGTAGCAGTTTTGTACTGAGTCCCTGAAAGATGAACTCCTAATTAAAAGGACTCGCCAAGGATGAGCTTTTAATTAAAAGGACTTCCCAAAGCGTAACTTTACTGGGTGAGGATCCCTGGTGTGTCTGGAGGCACGTGTGTGTGCTTCACGTTGCTGGGATGAGTCAACAGTGTTTATTTTGTGAATGTATCAAGTATTTCCCAAAGGAAATGCAGCCAGTGAGGATGAACAAACTGGATTTGTCATGGTCTAGATGGAGCAGCCTGCTTGGGCTTGAAGGAAAATGTGAGTCTTCTTAAGCCGTAAACCACTTACGGCCTTGAAGTGCCTGTGTGTGGGGGGTTTGTTGGACTTTTTTTGTTTGTTTTTTTACATTTTCTCCCAAAGCAAATTTTTACATTGTGAGCTTCCAAAAAATCTCTGGCAGGGGGCAATAAATAAAATTCAAGAAAAAAGAAGTCTTTAGAAGTCATGGGGAAGTTAATCTGTTCCTTTAACACAGCAGTAACTTTCAGTGAGTCAGCAGCACTAAGTGCCTCTGTCTGTCCTAAGTCTGCTGCCCAGAATCTAGTTCAACTCCGGTGATGAATGACCGCTTACCTCTAACATGCGTGGTGTTTTCACAGTCAAAACATTTTTCTCTGCATCCTTCCCAATTTCTCCATGGTGTTGTGGGTCACTGTTCTATTACACCTGATTTCCAGTTGATAAGTTGTTGCTGTTTTCCACCCTGTATTTCCTATCCAGCTTTAATTTGTATCCTATAAAGCAAAGTTCGGAGTCCAAAATAGAATTTTGTTGGTTTTTTTTTCTGATTGCAAGAAAATGCCTTTTTAAATAAGATTGCGGTTTCTATTTTATGTATTAACCTGTGTTTTGCAAGATGCTGTTATAACAATGGTGTTTGAAATCCACATTCAGTGACTTTCTGGTACTCTGAGATCATGGTTCTGTATCTCTGCAGGTTTGGGCTTGTGTCAGTTCTGTTTTTTCTCCTCCGCAATAAATATTTTGAGTCTGTTACATTTTGCTTCTGAACTCTTCTGCTTCCCCTCACATTAATTATTTACTCTGCATTTTGACTGCACTTTGGTTTACATCTTTGTTGTTGTTGCTGTTGCTGAGAGTTTCTAAGGGAAGGAGATGGAATTAATTGGAAGAGAACTAATTTGAGGTGCAGATCCAAGTATCTTTATTTGATGAGAAATGTCATTAACCTGGTGCATGACCACTGGTACAGAGACAGTTTGAGGCCGAAAAAAAATTATTATATTGAAGTAAATGGAAAGTTTGAATCCTGAAAGCGTAACTTAAGTTTTATTAGTCTTTTAGCATACAATAGTATCTGGAGAAAAACATGTGTAGGTAAAAATTTGTTTTTCTTGACCCTCTTCACTTCATGCTTATTTGCTGTCTTCTTGTTTGGAACAATCCCTGCATATGATCTCTATATCCTAAATAATTTTCTGCTGTATCGTTTCAACTATAAGTTTATATTCTATTATTGCACACAGAATATGTGTAGAAGTGCAAGCTCTTAGAGGTTGTGTTAGCTATTTAGCATTTTTTCTGGTTTACTATTTTATTAATAGTGCTATTAAAAAAGAAAAGCTCTTCCAACTTAACTAGGGATAGCTTGTATTAATTGTCAGCGCTATTATCATTTATATGCGCTGCAGAGCAGCCAGGAGGAAAAAAGTATTCCTTACAGCTGAGGGGGCAGTAGGATAACAGACGTCGGAGACTGTGATGTAACTTTGTCAACAGGAGTCGTAGTGAGCATTGAGACATCAAAAAACAACCCGCCAAGGTATTTAATAGGATTTTAAGATGAATGTAGAGAGTGGACAAAACAGGACAGAAATACTGTTAATAAAAATAAGGGGAATCAGACTTCAACATTTAGCTGTTCTCTTGCAACACTATAAAGACTTTAATGTGGTATGAACTCAGGTATGGGTTGAACTGACACAAACTTGTATAGCTTCCGACACCCAATTTGTTTGATCTTTCTGTGATGATTCTGCTCAATTCATCAAGGCATGCATGACCTCGGTGTGGGCTGAACGCTGCTGCTGCTGCTCCTCGACTTGACACCCTGGGAGTGAGAGAGCCGGGGGGACAGACCAGAAACACTGCAGTGGGATGGGCAGTCTGGCCACAGCGGGCCACCAGCACAGCTCCGGAACCGCAGTGAAGGCGTGCAGGTGAGCAAAGCAGCAATTTGTGATACGTTTCTTGTATGTGTGATGCTTGCTTTTTAGTTATACATTAGACAAACAAGACCCGTCCCTCTTCTAACAACTCTGTCTGTTACTGTAATTGCTCTGGATGCAAAAGAACATTTTAAATTGAGTTTTTTTATGTAACTCGTGTGATTAAAGCTTTCAGCTGTTCCTGTAGGGCAGTATGTAACCACCCTGCTCTTTCCTGCAGCGTATGAGGCCATTCCTACATATGCACCATCCATACTCCAGCTGGTCTATTCTAGTATGTTAGATATTCAGCTAGGCATCGATGCTGTCTGTGGGTTTAACCGATGCATTTTAAATAGGATGTGAAGAATGCACGGTGAGACACAACCAAATGCAACCACAGGGGCTGTGCAGTTATTTCAGCTAGCACGTATTTTGGTGCAAACTTGGTTGTGGATGACGTTATCATGCTAGTCAACCTGAACTAGTTCAGGGCTTTGAAACCCGTTTAACTGGTTCACGCTGAAGAGTGAAACATTTGAAGGTGAGCCTAGGCTTTCACTGGGGCCTTCCCTGAGGACAGCGCCGTGGCTCTGTCCCGCGGGGCCCGGGTGCCGGCAGGGCACTGCGGTGCCTCTCCGCGGGGGCTGATCGGGGTCCCTGCGCCCAGAGGCCGGAGCAACGTCACGGGGAGGGGGATGCCCTGATGCCCGCCGGTGGCTCTGGTCGAGCCCGAGGGGCAGCTGTGGTCCGTGGCCGCCGGTGCGGGGGGGAGGTGCGGGA